GTTTTTATTCCCTTTTTTTCCTTTAGTGATACTGTTATGATATAACTATATTATTTCAAGTTGCTATAACAAGTTGTAATAAATTTAAAGCATTATAATTCATAGAATATATACTATTATAGTCTAATTTAATGTGTTCTGCACTTATTACGATCTTTTAATTCACTTGCTAATTTTTGTATCTGCTAGAATTGTTTCTTTTTGTTAGTTAATTAATTGTTCTTGTGTTACTGCTTCTATTTTCTTTAGTTGTTTTAACGTTTACTACTTTTTCTATTTCTTTATTTTAAAATATTCATTTTTGAACCATTTCCAGCATTGCCTTTTAAAGAAATTTTAAAATGCTCTTCCTTTACCCTGTACATAACTATAATATTTATTTTTATTTTTATTAAATTATGATGTATTTTTCCCTCCTTCCAGCAGGCCTTCGTGGTATAACGGTAACACACTCGGCGCGTGTTCGAGAGGTCCAGATTCGAGTCCCGGCGAGGTCATTGCACATTTTTCATGCCCCTTGCTTCAAAAAAAGCGTAATGTCTCACCAGTGGGGTCCGAACTAAAAGGCAGTGGAAGATAATTCGTCGCTACCAGGATTTGACGATTTGGTATCCTCCTTCCCAGTCACTCTTTAAAAGGGGGAGTATGTAAGGTATTTTCTCCCTCCTTCCAGCATTCCTTCATGGTATAATGGTAGCTCACTCGGCGCGTATTCGAGAGATCCAGGTTCGAGTCTTGGTGAGGGTATTGCAAAATGATTATACTATTTTATTTAACAAAAAAAAAAGTGTGAGGACACTGTACTTTTATGAAAAGCGATAAAATGCAATTTTAAAATTTAATCAAAGTACATTTTTAAGCTAATGTTTATGATATAGTACTATAAAACTTAGAATTGACCAGGAAGTGGGCTGTAAAACATTATAAACTGGGGTAAGCTCACGTTTTCATACGTTTTAAAATTCTACATGTTAGATTGTTAAATGAGCTTAATTATGCGTTTGGCGAAAATATGCTGAACCTTTTATATTTGTTTTACTAAAAACATTCATTAAAAACATATTTGAGCTTGCGGTTGGGGCTCCAATATTAATTAAATTAGCCGTAATGGTAAAGGCAGTTAAACAACCCAGTCCCAGGCAAGTGAAGCAACTGGTATTAACAGAAAAATTATATTAAAACAAACTTGTGTTTTCATGTAGTTTAATAATGATCAGTTTATTTGGTACGTAAGTTAAATTTACTTTTAACGGTTGATTTAACATTGTTCATTCGTTCTAGATCATATACAGTTAAATTTGGTACTGTTGTGCCTAAAAACAGCTCCCAAATACTATAAAATTCTCTACTATCAGTGCTGTTATTCCAAGCATTTTTCTTTTCCTTTTTTGTATTTTCCGTAGACTTTTACTCTGATGGTTTGTAATACTAATTTTTTGATCATTCTGGAACAAACCAATTCCATTTGTTTTTCAGATAGGGCTCGATTAATCAATAACCCAGAGAAATCGACCTTGCTTAATCGGCATTTGGACTAAAATGTCATTATATCAGGAAAATATTAAATAAATATCAAGAACAAACGGTGTCCGCCTATAACATCGCGGCAAAAACATCGCGGTCGAAAACGTCGCGGAGAAAACAACGCAAGGAAAACGTCGTGCTACAAAACATCGTGGGAGAAAACATCGCAAAGAGAAAACATCGCAGTTCCAAAACATCGACGTCGAAATTAAAGCAGTTCAAAAAACAAACAATCCTATACAAGCATGAGAAAAATAATTAAAATTTCTCCGACATGAAGATTCTGTGCTTCAAATTTAAGTTAGATTAAAATTTCTCCGGCATGAAGAAAGATAGTCTTCTATAATTTTAGGAAACTGCAATTGTCTGCAAAATTCGTTCAGAACATAACAAAGTAAAGAAAGTAACATTTACCAGAATAAATCATCCATCCGTAATCACTTTTTTAATTTTTTTTTAAATTTTATCACTTTAAATAGAACGGATCTAAAATTTCAGATTAACAATAGCGTAAAATTTGCTCATTAACAGCATGAAATTTAAATTACTCATTTTACTATTCCGGAGTTTTTGCCTTTGAAATACTTTTGCTGAATTTACTAGCTTAAGTCTGAAACGATTTAACGTATCAAAGCAATTTTCAGAAAATAAGGTAAAATATTTCTGTAATTAATAATATTTTACCCAAATAATGAATAATTAACTAATTATTAGAAGCAGTTATATTTTTTACTTGTTATTTCTTTTGATTCAGCATCGAAAGTGGCTTTTAAATAATTATTCTAATTTCAAGTACTAATAGCCATGCCTGATGATTAGTGAATAGCAAAAGAATAAAAAAAGCAACACATGTCTGTCTAAGTTACAATAGTTTACGATTTAAAAAGCTTTTAAAGATTAAGCTAGGGATGCTATCCCTCTCAGCACAGCTTCACTATTTCCTCGGGGCACAAGGTCTTGCTTATCTACTACTCAATAATACTACCGCTAGCCTTTTGCTTAATCATTTTTAATCACAGAAATTTATGAGGAATTAAGAACAAGAAACATATATAAATATAGTTAGGTTTCTTGCTTTCTCTTTCTTCGTTTAAGTGCGCCATTTGAAGTTTTACACAACAGATACCAGAGTAAAATGGGCAATGGGAAATTATTTTGATGCCTGTGTTCCCTGATGATTTTAGCAAGTCTTCGAAACATAATCCAGTTTCTCTTAGACATTTCTTTCCAAAGCAATAGTATTCAACTGTTTAGCTAACTGTGAACTGTTACCTACTTTTCTTTTGACGTTCTACTTTAAAAAATCCTCACAAAGACTTCGTTTAAAACAATGGAATAAAGTATTAATTCAGTTTCTAAAGAAAACCAAAATTTGTTTCTTTGCATTAAATTCAATTAACGTTGTAAAGCTCCATTACGTTAATCTAACCAGTTATAATTTAGCTCTTCACTGTCACCTCTCCTTTCCGTTTCCATATCAGAATGCATATTGAGTTTGAGAGTATTTAAGGCGAGGTTTCCGGATTGTAAAACAGAGCGTGTTTTTGCCTCTCAAGGCCGCGTTACTGGGTTTCTCTAGCTCTGATAATACTTACTAGGTTTCTCTAGCTCTAGCTCTGATTCTTCGGCGTTGCGTGTAAGTTGTAATAGCTGCCGGCATTTAAAGTTTTACACCGGTGAGGAGTTTTTGAGCCAACTTCGCGTTAAATCAGTTGTGTAGACTTGTACTACTAGGGTTAATTTAAATATGAATTTGACTGTTACTTTAAGGTTTAAGTGCTGATTTTGTTAAGCACGCTTTTTATGTTCTGGTTCTGATTTAATAAAAAATTTTGTTTTTAAACCTTCTTAAGATTTTGCAGTTCTTTTCAGACACAGCGATAATTCGCTCTTTGGTTTGCATAAACTAAGTTTGGGCTTAGTTTATGCTAACCAAAGAACACCAAACTCTATAAGGTTTGCTTTTAAAGCATTAGTTCATGAAAACCTCTTTGGTTACTGCTTGTTTTAATTTATATGAAAGGGAAGAGGGTGTTATTTTGTAAGTTATTCAGATTCTGATTTGACTGTCTTGGAGCTTTTTATTTTATCATCTTTAAGTCATTCGGTTTAGTTCGTAGGGAGAATTTTATGCGTTAATCATCCTATTTCATAAACTTGAGGCCCAGCAAGGGAAAACGATTCTCTAAAGAAAAATCAAACTATGCTCTACACAAATGATTACTTCAAATTAACACGCAAGAAAACTTTGCATTTTATTCTGAATTGAAATTTAACTACTTCTGATGAAAAATTAAAATTAAAATTTTAAAAAAAGATCTAACATCAACGTGATGTGATATATTTACCACAAAAAATAACTCTAGATTATGAAAATGCTAACTAATTCTATAACTACATCAAAAAATCAATAATTTCGGCTAAGATTATAAAAGGTTACCGAATCCGAAATTTCAAAGTATACATTAGATCCAAAATGACTACAGGTAAAATAATATTATTTCTAAATATCATCAATTTTTCATTATTTAGTTTTATTTTAAATAATCGTTTATTGTTTAAAAATATTGAAAGTTCTTTTTTATGCTTAACAAATCTGAAGTAGGAAATTTAACTTAAATATGTATAATACCAATCTTATACAAAAGTGTCATTATGAGAACAGCACAGAAAATACTAAATGAAAAATCAAATAATATACTGCGTATCATGACTTTTATATGGAAAATTATCAAAGAAATTTTCATCAAGTAATCATTTTTATAAAGTAAAAACTTTATAAATCTTTATTTAATTTTAACCAATAATGCTAATTATTTTTAATAACATACGGTTTTCAGCGGGATAATGATGACTATCTCTTTATCAAATAGCAAATTAAAAAAATGATTCTCTTTATAACATATTTTCATTTTCAACCATTTTTATTTAATTCTAGGGCCGATCTGATAGAATTCTAGTTTTAAAATACATTTCCTCGTGATGCTCACCTTTATTCTCCGAATGATTATTGAAGTCATATATCAAACAATTAAATATATAACATTGTTAACTTTCTAAGCCCATTCTTCGTTCATTTACTGAAATTTATATTTTTGAAAAAAATTTATATTGAATAAAACTACCCTTTCCAAAAATAATAATAATGCTTCTTACATTTTTTTAAAAATATATTAACACTCTTTTTCTATAATTTAAGCACCGATCATACTCGCATTCAGACAAATTTAAAATTGAAAGGATAACATACTGGACTCCTGAAATCTAAGAAACGTTAAAGTATGTAAATATGCGTACCCGCACCACACGCAGTTTAATCTTTATACAATAGTACGGTAATAAGTAAGGTTTATGAAAAGGAAGTGGTAATAAAGGGAGAGGGGAGTAAATAAATTGGATAAATTTCTGCTGATAAGAGTATTTAATTACTTTAAATCTGCTCGTCAAATTTTAAATAAGTATTAAAAACATCTTACTTGCAGATGACTGAAGAGAAGAAAGAGGTCTTGTGAGAGCCCATATCTTAGCCCCTGAATTTTCTTCTTCTCTCTCGAGTGCTTGGGACCTTGAGGTTACACAAGTGCTAGGAAGTTGTTGACACCTTGTGGAAGAAATCGTTGATGTAACGAGATTCTCGCATGGCAGAGGTGGAAAAGAGACTGGTCCAGAATAGAAATTGCCTCTTGGAAATATGACAAGTCCATTGCAAAAAAGAGGCAGAGGTAACATTTGTCCTACTGGAGGTCTGACAGGATTTGTCGCCTGAGGCGATATTAAAGAGTCAATGGAAAAACTTGACTGATTCGATAAACGTTGCATTGAAGACTTAACTTGAAATAAGTCAGCAGATGGCAATCAGTAGACTCTTTAGCTGTCTGAAACGACTTCACACTTAGAAATTTTGAAGATTTTCCTATTTCTTTTGGCTAGGGATTGAAAATAGCGTTTATTCAACATTTGCTAGAAAAGTGGTTTACCGGTTCACTTGAAAATTCTGCAAAGATCTGCGAAATCACAATAAGAAATCTTAACAGTCCTCTAAATTATCCGATGCATTACGAATAGAAATGAATTAAAATACTGCTTCTTTAAATATGACTAGATTTCACTTTAAGAGCACATTAATTTGTTACCGAAGGTATCACATTTTGAACTACAAGAATTAGCTATACAGAACCTTTCTTATCATATGCCATGATTACAGCGGAGGTATTTAATAAGCATCAACCACTTTTGTTTTGAACATTCACGAAAAGGCTTCTCTCTAGCTCTAGCTGGAATCAGAGTTTTTCGAGTCCATCTATCTGAAGATTTCACATATCATAGAATCAGCCTTTCGAGAAAATAGCTTATGGAAGCATGTCTTCTCTAGTTTCATCTGTCACGACATATTTCACACAAACATCTTCTTAAGAACACATCTATAGATCCCAGAAATGTTGAAAACTTCCACTATGTTTCCCAGATGTTATTATGATCGGGAGAGTTTTTTCAGGTGAAGAGTAAGGATGCACGTAACATTTAACATTTCTAAAACCTATTACAGTTATTAAACAGCTGAAAATGTATCCATCAATATTATTTCGCCTTTATACAAAATAAAAAAATTTCATTTTTCAATCAGGCTGCACAAAGATATTTATGTAAAAACATCATCAATTAGCACACACTCGTTTATTTGATATAAATATTTTGGCAAGACTAAACAAATGTAAAACATAAGATCCATCGTTTTTGAGTAGCCAGAATTTTAAAAATTATAGTTAAGTATTATTTAAGGTTTCCTTTGACATGATTCACATTTAAAATTTCCTTAAATTTATCTCATTAGTATTACTTAAAAATATAGAAGTTGTTGAAAATTTAGCTATAAAAGATGTTTAATGTAACAGAGTTGTAACATGCGTATATTCTCAGATTCGTTTCTTTTTCATATAAATGGCGAATTTTGGATTGTAACACTGACTCTTGACGAGCCTGATTATTTAAAAAACGTCGGTGCGATATTCCATTTAGTTTTTCAAACCTCGTGTTCTTAAAGATGTCAATAACTTTTTTTAATCAATCCCAGAACAGTAAAAGTAGATTCTTCATAACAGATAAAGTCAATAGAGTTTCTCAACACACATATGAGGGATAAAAATATCGAGACGATTAAGTGTTTCGCAAATGAAACCCTCTTTCCAAATGCTTAATTCAGGGGATGCGGTGTCAGGAGCCAAGCCGCTTAGCAAAGTCATGCCACTGTTTCAAAGTGAATACTAAACCTCTCATTCTCTTCCTACTCTTTCAACACCCTTCCCCTCCTCCACCAATGGGTCCCAAATTAGGGTTGCCAAATCGAAACTAGAGGAAGACTGATTTAGAACTTCGCGGCCTGCTAGCGAAAGTCGCCAAGGTAGTGAAAAAAATCGCCGAAGGAAGTTCTCTGAAAACTGCTTTCCAGTGGCGGAAGAGAAACGCCTTTTATATCGCTGATTAGCACAGCTTTTTAAAGTAATTAGAAAAAATGTTTCCGGTACTGAAGAAATTCTGATTCTTCTTTAACTATTTAAAAAAGTATTTAATCATACTGAAATGTCTTGTATTTATCATAAACAGGTTTTCCTGGATCATTTCACATGCAGAAGAATGTAATTTACCGAGTAAAATATTATTATTATTATTTGTTATATCAGTTGATAGCATTATTTGAGTTCTATGAGGTTTTAACAGACGGAATTTAGAATTCGATCAGCTGCTTCATAAAGCAGAGTTGAAAAATCTGTTATAGAAAATTTTATTATTTATTCATTTTTTTAATAAAAGTTTATTTCAGTTTTAAAACAGACGTTCCGCTATATAATTCTTATTGCATTTTGCAGTTTCCTTTAAATTTTGCAGTTTCCCGTAAATTCCCAATTCCCTTAATTTTCCCTTTGCAGTTTCCCTTAAATGTAATTTTACTTACGTTACTTCCATGACAAAAACAAAGGATTAAAGTATTATTTATTCTAACAAAGTGATAATAAATTTTTAAACTTATGGGTTTAAGAGATGAACATATCTCTGAAAATGAACTGCATTCTCAGCCATCTTCGAAGACTGGAATTTCGAAATCGCAGTTGAAAGCCAGCGAAATATCTTAATTTCTTGCAGTCTAGTACTGGAATATTTTCAGTCCGCTTTTTGTACTATACAGAACTTATTTAACATGCGACTTACATAAATTCGCAATTACGTAAGACTCCCCAAAAAACCGTATTATAGTAAAATTTTTTTTTTTTTTTTTTTTTTTAATGGCGAGCACTAGCCAGTTTTAGGCTTTAGTCGCTACTAAGGCCAGAAATGGTGGTCATTTTACTATGGAAGCACCAAATGGGCAGCCACCGTTACCTCCTATAAGGGAAGGACAGAAAATTTACATCCATGCCATTTCCGGGATTCGAACCCGAGCCCTTCGGTATCGCAGTTGGCTGCCCTAACCAATATACCGTCTGGACAGCTAAAGTTCACACTGAAACTTGCCATAAGAAATAAGGGCTCCATAAGTAATTTCTTCTTTCCCCAAGCCGTATCTCATGCATTTAAATAACATTCATGCAGTTAGTTTAGTCACTTGTTTACCGCTATTAGTGTTAAGTGTTTATCAATCTTAAAATGTATTCGCGACGCAAAATCGAAAGAAAAGTTGAAAATAATTGATACATATGAAAACGGAAAAACTTTATAAAGTTATTTTAAACAGTTCGGGATATAAATCAACCAGTTTCGACATTAAATACGATAGTGAAGGATAAAGCAAGTTTTCATAATTGAAAGCATAACGTTGAAAGGCACAGTCATTACCAAGAAACCAGTTTCCCTTAGAAAGTCCTCCATGAATACATTTCTCCCTTCCTAGTAGTTCCTTAGGGCGGAACACGTAAATACTTTTTTTAAATGGCCGGACGCTTTATTTAATAGCCATTAAGCCTTGCGTCACTACTAGGGCCGGAAATGGTGGCCATTTCATTATGGAAGCACCTAATAAGTGGCCAACGTTGCTTCCTATGAAGGGACGGACAATTACAACCATGCCTTCTCAGGGATTCGAACCCGGGCCCATTGCTACAGTAGTCAGAGTCACTACACACTACACCGGCTATATGTAAATGATAATAATAATTACCAAGAAAAGCGTGGGCCTAATTTCTCAGAGGTGGAGAAATTGTTTTGTCTCACAGGTTTCAGGATCTGATACGCAGAAGTGAATACATTTGAGTTTATTTATTATCCAGCAGAAGGCTTGTTCTCAGCATAAAGATTTATAAAAGAAGGCCGGCATCTGAACGTTGGAATTCGAAAATGTTAGCCGCAGCATATATTCCGATGTATTTAACTACAAAGCAATCCACGATGGGAAAAAGCGTGTGATTGCATAATTTAATTTATATATGTTTGTGAGAAGAGCATTTCTAATCACAATCATTCACATCCAAGGCCGACTCTCCCACTACAGAGCCAAATTGGCTATCGTAAGATCTTGTTTACTTAAAAAAAATCTTATTTGAATTTTGTTTTATATTTTTTTGGATATTTTTCACATTTTATATTTCATAGCCAAGAAAAATAGGGCTGCAGAGTGTTTCATTTACACAATAACACTGTGCAAATAATACACATACATACATTCATACATGTGTACAATAAAAAGTACACTTTTTTACGAAATTGCGCTTAAGTAATTTACAAATTAGACTTCCGTAAAGTTCGAGCTACAAATGGTTCAGCAGAATGCATTACTGATATAACTCATGGGATTATTGTAATAGCTAAAATTATATTCCCTTTCCCTAATTTTATTATTTTACATTTTCGAAATTTATTACGTGGGGAAAACCACAACTCCATGCAACCAGCCCATTCGCCAGGATTTGAATTCATGTCAAACTGATAGTATTCAGTAGCCTTTACCGGTGAACCAGTTACATATGGAATAGATCTAATTTAAATTTTGCCAACTTTTAACTTCAGTTTACCATAGGATAACTTTATCTTCCTCTTTCCTTTTTGATGTTATCTTTTCTATTACTTTGTAATCCTCTTTTCGTTGTTTTATAATTTTTAATAACAACTTCGTTCAATTATGGTTTTATAATTCTTAGTTTCTACAGGTCAAATTTTACACGTATTTATTTATTGCTTAAGTCGCATCTACGTGTACATGAGGACCTGAGCTCAGGAAAGTTAACTGCATATGTTTTTCTGTTGTACTTGCTCATTTTATAAAGCTACTGCCAAACAGATTGATTTTTATCGGGTAAAGTTATGGGACAGGTACAATGTTTTATTTTCCCTTCGCACCCCTTTTCCAAGAATACTGAATGGCCAGACAAAAATTGCTATCTAGCAGTTCTTACTCTTGTTTCAGTTATTTAAATTCACCTCAAAATATATGAATGAAAGACAAAATAATAAAGATAAGAAAAATGTCCATTGAGATAACAGAGTTAAGGACAGTAGAGCTATAAAGAATTTACTGCGTTGGTTAGAATTTAATTCCAGTATACAAAATCATAGGAAATGAGACCAATATATACATGTAACAACTCTCAATATTGAACAAACTGGGAAAAATGATGCATTTATACAGGTTATTTAAAAAAGGTAAACCTTTATTTTCTTAAATATTGATACTAGATATATACAAGAGTGGATCGAAAAGTTACATACAAATTCATCCCTTTCCCTAAAACACAAAAAAAATTAAAGCAGTAAAATTGCATGTATTAGCTGTTCGAGAGTGTCTTAGTTCTTATAATCTTTCTTTCATCATCGCATCAATTTTAGTTTTAACAAAGTCCATTTTCTGGACTTATAGCTTTCCACAAAGTACAGCTTCTTCAATCAAATCAACGGGCTACTGATCTTTGTGTCGGCTGTGATATGTACGCAACAAAACTACGTGCCATAATTGCGTTAAATGCATACCGTGTTACTGCGTATATGTTTTTGCCTCTCTGTTATACTTTTGACCAAACAATTTCAGAACACATTACTGTTTGATCCTTCATCACATGCTACTAGTTACACAGTTTCACAAAATGAAGAGCAGAACTTTAATTCCAGCTAGTTAAGTATTCATTGACCTTTAATTAGTTAAAAGCATAAAGTCCTATACAATTATATGCCAAATTCGTAGAGAAGTCATAGAATTCATAGAAGTTCGTAGAGAATAATTCGTAGAGATTCATAGAAGTTCGTAGAGAATCATTCGTATTCATAGAAGTTATCACCATAGGACTGGTAATATGTTGAGTTACTTTAAAGGAACGTACGAAGAAAGAAGGTGGTGAGAAAGTAAATTGGGAAATACAAGGAAAATACTTTAAAGTATAGTAAAGAGTAATAAACAAAACTTAACTAATTACATATTTATGGAATATTCTGGTGATAAAAATATCAATGCGTCATAATAGTAGTAAAAAATGTATGAAAATAAGTGACCTAAGAGAAAAAAATCATTGGAATTATAAAATGGGAATATTAAAATCCTTTTAATTGGTATTATTAAAATGTATCTGATAAATCTGAGAGAATGAAACTTTTTGTTGAGTATTATATGGAGTATTAAGTGACAATAGTTAGCTTACCACCTCCTGATTAACTTAGAGAGATACTATTAATGAAGCAGAATCAAATTAATATTTTTTTTATATTTTAATAAGCTGTAATTTCAGTCAGGTCTTCTACAAAATAATTTGATTTTAATATTTTCAGTTTATTTTCACGCTTAACCAATGGCTGTTTTGTAGCTTTCTCAGTAAGTTTAGTTTAATTATATTATTCTATAAATTTTTATTTTAAAATTTTAAAATTGTTTAGTTATAATTTACTTAAATCAAATGTTGTATAACAATCTTAGCAGCAACTGCACTAGATTTAACTTTTGAAAATCCTTTTCTTTTGTTATTATCTTTGTTATCACTTCTTTTGTTATTATATATATTATATATGTATAATAGAAATTTAGATAAATGTGATAAGTAAGTCTTTTAAAGAAAAAGTAATCGTTAACATATCAAATTCTCTTATTTGCACTGTATTAAAGCATAACGTAATAATGGGTGCATGAACTGGAACGCACGCTTTGTAGCTTAAAAGTTAAAGTCCATATCTTTGCTTACTGTATCTAACGATAAAAGAAAGGGGTTGCAGATTACATGTTCACTAGGCAAAGGCGAACATTACAAAAGCAGTGATTTCAGT